AAAAAAAAAAAAAATCCTGAAGCACAGGTATCTGAAGCACATATACTTTTCCTTTAAGTTTCATTTTACTCAACAGTTATTTACTGAATGACAGGGACACAGGGCAAAAGACTGGATAACATCATTTTCCTTATAAAAGAGCCATGGTACCAGTCAATTCCAATGTGCCATTTTCAGGTATCACAGGTCAGTACAATTAAAGGCTTACTGAGAATATATGGCTGTCTTCAATAAAATACATGTCAATTCACTAACTTGAACTAATTTTGAATTGTTAAATTTTGTATGATTTATACTGTGAATTCCAAAATTATAATACACACTCAGAAATCTCTAGAAATTATACAACACTTACCACTGTGGGATACTGTGACGCAGGAAGTTGTGGCTGGTATACTGAATGCATTAAAAACTGTTGCTGAAGTATCTGTTGCTGCTGCACTGCATGCTGGTACTGAGAAAAGAAAATAAAATCAATATTATTCATGCCTTTCTATGCCAGAATCTCTTTTTTCTAAGTATTGATTTTACCAGAGCAATAACATAGAAAGTAGCTACAGTGTATAAGTAACTATAAGTTATATTTTGTTATCAGAATTCTTTTATTGTCAATGAAGCATAACAGATTGAACTAAAACCTTATTCAAAGCAGTTTAAGAATGTTTGGAAGAAAGCCGATGCTAAACATTTTCACCATCTCGTCCTAAAGGATATAAAGGCCGCTGAAGCAACTTCAAGCCAGGACCTATTACAATAAATCCCACCTTCAGTGGTATCTTCTGGCCATCCCATACACCATTTCCTTACCCCTTCCACTCTAGCTCTATTAATCAAAATTACAGGGTGACATCCCTGAGAAGTATCATGCATAGAACTGGCACAAAAATATTTCAGGAAATGAGAATGATGGTGTTAACAGTAGTTCAATTCAAAATTTTAGTGAAACCAGAAATTTGTAGATTCTGATGAAGCAGAGGACAGAAAAGACTTAAGACTTTTTTTTGCCCTTCCAATTTGCACCTATCCAGTCAGATAGACCAAACCAGTCAGAAAGAAGCACAAAGGAAAAAAACTAAGAAAATGTCACGTTGAAAAGACTAATATTTTCCCACAATAGCATTATTAGTCTATGAATTCAAAATGTAACCTCAAACAGATAATACTCATCACAAATCACATTTATTCTCAAATACCAAATGACTAGATGTACATTCTCTACTTCCTAAGGCCATGATGCAACCCAGTTTAATTGAGTATCCTTAAAGTATCTCATCAAGTGCAAACTACATACTGTTTTCTATTCAGGAAACAGGTAAAATTCACACTTTGAATCTTCAGTTCAAGGTGCGTATCTTAAGTCACTTTTCTCGTTCCACCTGATACCCCAAGTTAAAGGAGGAAAGGTTTATATGGCTCAGTTTGTACGTATTTCAGTTCATAGTTGGCTGGCTCCGAGGCAGGATGGCATGGCAGAGGGGCATCACAGAGTAGAAACAGTTCATGGCAGGCAGAAGGCAGCAAGCAAGTGACAAGTGGCAGTAGCAGCTTCTTTCTGTCCTTTTATATTCCACCTAGGCTACGCTTAAGTTCTGTCCTCACACGCAGAACTATGTCAAACCATTCAGTGGACTCATTTAGTAACCACACACCCTTAATCCCAGCATCACACACTCTAGATCCAACCATCCCTCAAAAAGCCCCACCTACAACCACATGAGGCTTTGGGGGACTTCTAGACCTTGACATCATCCGCGTGCTGCTGGTTTTAGGTGCATGCAGAACCCAAGAGTTGTGAGATTAGGAAGGCTTCCACCCAGATTTGAGAAGGTTTGGGAGGTCAGGCAGTGTGCCTCGGAGAGGGCAGTGTGTAGAGCTGTGACTGTAAAACTGAACGTGCAGTGAAGACCCAGAAGATTGAAGGAGCCAGGAGTATAGATCTGAGGAAAGCTGCAAGGAGTGACCAAAACTAGACAAAGAGAAAAGCCATGGGCACAACCACCAGAAGTGCTACAGAGGTGGAGCCACCAAAACTTCAAAACTGTTTGAAGTTCATAACTTGCCACAGATTTCCAAGGATGTTGGACATGAAACTCTAGGATTTAAGGTTTGCCCTGCTGAATTTTGGTCTTTCTTTGGTACCATTCCTTTCTATCACCCTCTTTGTACCTTTGGGAATGGAAATGGCTATCCTGTGCCACTGTATGTTTTCAGCGTTTAACTTTCTTTTCATTTGTACAGGAGCTCAAAGCTAAGAGTTTGCATTAAATCTCAGAGGAGACTTTGGACTTGGGCTTTTTAGCAATGCTGAAAATGTTAGGACTTTGGCAACTCTTAGAGATAGACTAAATGCCTTTTGCATAAAGAGATGTGCACAACTCTTTCCGGGGACTGGGGGCAGAATGTTATGCCTGTATCTAGATGTCTTCCCTCAAAGCCTCATAAGATCATAGATGGGGCTTTTCAGAGGTGGCTGAATCTAGGGTATGTATGCTAGATCAAAGGTATGATGCTGGGATGGATTCATGGTTCGGTCCTAGGATTAAAGGGTTAAATGTTTCTTGCCCAAAGGGTGGATAGCCTGGAAAAAATATGAGACAGAAAGAGGATCACCTGTCACTCTTGGGCACTTGCTGCTAGATGCCTTCTGCTGCCTGTTCTGTGGTGCCTCTCTGCCATGCCACCCTACCTTGGAGCCAGCCAACTGTGTACTGAAACCTCTACAAACTGTGAGGCAAATAAACCTTTCTTCCTTTAACTTTGGGTGTCAAATGTTTTGTCTCAGCGATGAGAACAGTAACTAAGACAGTGCCCATAAAACAAAAAGAATTCAGTGATTTTCTACTGCTATATGAATTTTACAGCACTACCCTACAGCACTGTCCAAAGTAACAGAGGATTACCTGCTGCAAGTAAGCATCTTGAAGTAACTGGTGCTGCTGTTGCTGCTGGTGAGGATGGTGATGCTGTGAATGAAGCTGCTGTAATCTCCAGTCTCCCTGTTGGAGCTGCTGGAGGACTCTGTGCTGCTGTGGTGGCTGCTGAGGAGGCCCCTGGCCTAGTAAACCTTCAGGGCCATTTCCAGGTCTCAAGGCTCCTGAGATAGGTTTCCAAAAACTTTCATTAATGTACTAATAATTTCAGCAAATAGCTACATTTCAATAATTAAATTAGAACATTGATATTATTAATTTATAAATGAAAACCTTCCTTCCATTTGCACAGTCTAAAGAATGTACTATAATTTTAAGTACCTTGGAAACTTAATTTTGTCATCTGCAACCCTGAAAAAGTCCTAAAAACACTTTGTTTTATGCTTAATCTCTCCATAAACACACCAGCCCTATCATTCTGACCTACAAATATATTATTATGAGGACACAGCCACTGAGACAGTTCTCTAAATCTCTAATGCCATTTCCAAGTATTCACGTTCTTGTTCTTTAAAGTGTAATTCAAATCTCTTCCTTGTTCCTTCATCTAACAATTCCACTCAATTTATTACTTCATTCTGTCTTGCACATATTAAGGGTTTATATGGCTATTTTCTAGCCAGGGACCCTGAAGGATAGAGTGACACTTATCTGTTGGAGACATAAAAGCCTTTTATATTAAAAATGTTCATTAAATGCTTACTGTAGTGAATCTATTAACACTATCTCCTAAATGGATATTTACTTACAAGCTCTATAAATTTCATCTTTTAAAAATTCTACAAATAAACTTTTGAAATTAGCTAAAATATGAATATATATAATATCAAAAAAAGGAAATATAATATCTAATACACTGTAATTTCTGTATTCTCTCCCAGTGAACTTACCTTTATTCAAATACAACTGTATGAATAGTTTAGATCTTTCATAACCCATAAAACATAAGCTTAGTCCCATGATGGCACCACTAAGAGGTGGTACAACTTTAGGAGATGGGGCCTTAGGTCATTGGAGCTGAGCCCTTGAAGGGGATTGTGGGACTCCAGCTTCTTCTTTTGCTTCCTAGCCATGAACTAAGCAATTTGTTCAACCATGTGTTCCCTGAGTTGCTATCCAGCACTAACAACGGGGGCTAGAAGCAATTGGTACACCCAACTGTGGGGTGAAATTTCTAAAATTATAAGCCAAAATAAACCTTTGCTCTAATTAAATTAATGCCCTTGATATTTTGTTGTATTGATGGAAACCTGATTAAAACAATAATCGCTCAATAACTGCATATTTTGTATCAGGTGCTATATTAAGCAGCTAATCCTCCCAACAAACCCATAAAAATAGGAGCTAGAATCTTTTAAAGATACATTGCTTTAAATAAGAAAAATACTCAAAGCAGATTCAAGAGCTTCAAAGAACAGCTTCTTCACCATTATAGTATCCTAAATGAAAACATTTTCTTTGTTTGTTTGTTTGTTGTATACTGGGGATTGAACTCAGGACCTTGCACTTGCCAGGCAGGCAACAGTGCCACTGAACTACATCCCTGGCCCCAACATTTTCACATTAAAAAGACAGATTTATCGTGAAATAAAATATAAATCAGGTGAATCTTCACATTATATCCCAGACCTTTAAGAGATAAAGTTTACACTCTCAAATCAGGAGTATCTCCTTAGGAGAATTTTCCTCCCATTTGTAGCACTAGGAATTGAACCCAGAAAGAGCCTCATTAACGCTTGGCAAACATTCCACCACTGAACTATATCTTCAGGCCTTTCTTATTTTATTTTGAGACAAGGACTCACAAAGTTGCCCCTGGCTCAAACTCATAATCCTCCAGTCTCGGTCCCAAGTAGCTGGGATTAAAGGTACACACCACCACCATGCCTAGCTGAAAAAAATTTTTCATAGTACCATAATTCTTACATTTTAAATTAGAAAAATACTTTTTTCTAAAAATCAAATGAAGATACCAGTTTTTAAGTTATAATGTCCACATGACTATTTTGCCAAACTCTAGACTCAGTACAAAGATGCAACTTTATAAGGTTAGAGTTTCAACTACCGGTACAACAGAGTTTTCTACACTCTTGAACTTTATCATTACCTACCTCAACCCTACTAGTTGATGACTTTAGAAATAAGAGTTTATATTATAGAATCAAAGCAAATTGTGAGCTTTTTGTATCACACTTTTGCCGTGCCAATAACTTCCCTTTCTTTATCGCGAGAAAAACAGCCAGATTTATTAGACATAAGAAAGCTTCTTAAAACATTATGTTACCTATTTTCAATATTAAGTTTGCTGTTAATTTATACCCTTAGGAAACCAAACCATAATTGGATTATTTACACTAGCAAGGGACTGGCTTACACTACCTTTCGGTCTGTGGTCACCAAATTCACCAGGAGCAGGAACTTTCACAGGTGTTGCTGAACTCTGAATGGTCAGCATACTAGGAGGGGCAGTAGTAGAGTTGGCCTTTGGTCTTTGTCTTGGTGCAATCGAGGTTTCTGTTGGTCCAATGGTATCTGTTATTCTACAAGAGAAGGACACATTTCATTCCAAATATTGGGGTTATTTCTAATTTACTTTTTTCTATAAAATATCTCAATAAATATTTATTACAGACAATCACTTTTGTTTTCTTGGCTTCCTCCTAAGTCTCTCTCAAATAACACGTTTGATGATGATCAGAAAGTAAAAACATAAAATTAACCATTTTCCTTAAAATAGTATGTAAAGTCTGCTACAGCAGGTAGCAGAAAATAGCATAGTTTCAAAGACTATCTTTAAGGAAATAAGATGAGATTGAAAGGAAACAAACAAAAACCTTCTCACAAGGTTTTTAAAAAAAACTGAAAATCCAACTCTGAAGGGAAACAAGAATAAATAACCTCCCCTAACTTGGACACTTTAATTTACATATTTATCAATTTTTGTCTATAAATTCAGTATAAAGACTCATACTTTTCAGTTGAGTCAATTTTTCACTTTCTAAGAGGATCTCCCATAAAATTTCTTTACTAAATTATCTCACCATATAGTCAAATGATTTAATAATTACATATAATTTATCAAGCTCACAGCCACTGTTACTTAAGGGAAAACCCCATCTACAACTGCATACATGTAAAATTTTTCCCAATAGCTATATGCACCACAAGAGGGAGCCCAGTTAACAACTATCTTTCCAATAGGAAAGACAAAATTAAATCAAAAGATTTCAGAAAAACAGAACTATATCATGAGAATAGACAGTGTGTTGTCTTCTAAAAATAACATGTTTTAAATGGGATAGGTACATATTGAACAAATATGAAAACAGAGCTAAAGATCATTTATACATATAAATAATTATAGCTCACTTTAGTATGAATTCATATTCGGAGTGTGGTACTAAAACCAAGTATACTCTCTAACCTCGAGTAATTTGGAAGAAATACTATATACAACCATTTTTTAGCTCTCCATTCTTTATTTATTAGGTTGCATAGGCCAAACTTCACCCTTCTATGTTCCTGGTCTACCCTGCTCTTTAGAGAACTACAACATGCATGATCATAGAGGAATCTTCTAAAAAGCCTAAGTCAGGAAGACCTTATTCAATCTAATATCTTTTATTTAATACTGTATTAGTATCTATTGTACATTTCTGATGTTCACTGTACAAAATTCTATCCTCAGAATTTACAGGATATATAAGAAAATAGGGCACATGTTGGTGAAAATATAACAAAATGTAAGAGTAAGATATTCAGAGCCAAGCTAGTACTGCCAAGAATTTCATGAAGAAGTAATTCCATCCTTAATTTGGCTAGAAAAGGCTTCAAGAAGGCACTAGAGATTAAAATTTTTAAATAAATATTATTTCACTAAACTGCAAAAAAGTGACTAAGCATTCTCTATGAAGGAAGGGATGGGAAACAATATCTGCACAGATTAGGCAAAGAGAAGCAAAAACTGGACTGAGAGACAATAATTACTGCCATCAACATTGCTGCACTGCTTTACCTTTACCCTCACAAGCTTCCTAGTGCATTTTCTGTGCTTTCCTCCTTTCCTTTCCTCCTAACACCTGAATAATCTTCCTAAAAACTCAGACCCTCTCCTCCTTAAAGTCCTCCAATGTTTCCTTCTGCCAATTCTCAACATTTCCATCTTTCAAGCACATATGTCAAATAACCTCACATGTTTAACAGAGTAGAAAATACAAGTCAAGTTTAGGTTTTTGAGAAGTAAAGCAGGTGCCACAAACTGAAGGCAGGGGCAGGTGGATTAAAACACCCGTTGCAGCTTACTGAATAAGGAAACTAGCTCTGTAAAGATTCTCTCCTTAAAATACAGCATTTACATGAAAAAACTAATATTTACTATTAAGCTTTGTACAGAGGTAGATTTTTTTCAAGTTCTTTAGTGACTTTGATAGAGTAAATTTATCTGAATGAGCAATTGGCACCAATGAACCTTATATTTTAATATACAGAAGGCACAGATTTAATATACTATAAATAAGTTCTGCAAATTTAACTCATTAAAATGACAAAAACTGTACACATTAATGGATCACATTATATTTTCACACACACACGTTTAAAATAAACACTGTAAATGCAAATGGCATTATTTCATTTATGATTGTATTGCTACAACTTGTGTGTCACAGTGAAAGATATTCAAATCATTCTTTTTCAGTTGACTAATTTTTTAATGTGCAACTACCTTCATAAAGATTTACTGATCAACTATTAAAAACAAGTAACAATAAAATTCTACTGACAAATAATTACCACTCAATAACAACAGTGGCTGCTACTCAATGCTCTATCATAGATAAGACAGATTTCTGGTTATGCTAGATTCCTGCAGGTTAGATATAACTTTATTCCACCGCTTCCTTGGACAGCACTTTGAAAGTCAAATGAATGAAGATATTCTTGGTGATATTAGATTTTTAAAAAGTCACAAATGATACTTTAACAATTCATCAGTAAAGATCATTTCTAATACATCTCAGCATGCCATACAAATAGGGTTGCTTGTGACTGGTATTACCTATCATTTCAGCTTCCTCCCCCACCACCATAAGTATGTCCCCTTATGCTCTCACCCTATAGCATCACCAGGACCATTATTGCCTGAATTGCCTGCCACTTTAGTTTCAATTCCAACCCCTCCAGAGAACTGAGGACTCATCCTTCAAGAATTCTGCAATTCCCCCAGAAAGCATTCCTTTCATCCTGTTCTCTCTGCTCCCAGTCTTTTCTTCCACACTAAGTATCAGGTAGTAATCATTTACAGTTACAACTGCAAACTCCCTGGAAATTACTACTTTCTATGTGCAATTCCAGGATCTATATCTTGCATATAAAATGTATATGACAAATTTTTTTTGTATTTCAAATAAAATAATTAGTGTAAGATATAATAACAAACAAAGCTCTAACCCAGAAATCTCCCCAAATGCAATGTTGCACTTGTCTAATAATCTAATAGATGGTCCTGTTTATTAACTTTTAAGTTCAAAAATATAAATACAGAAAAAAGTCACTAAAGGATTCAGGTCTTAACATAATCCATCCCAAACCCCTGCTTTTCTTTATTTCTTTCTTTCCTTTTTTTTTTTTAAGACAGAGTCTCACCACACAGGTTCAGGCTGGTCTCAAATTTGTGGCAATCCTCTTGCCTCAGCCTCCCAAATGCTGAGATTACAGGTATGTGCCACTATGCCCAGCTCACACAATATATTTCTAACTTTTATATTAGATACAAATCCTGTATCTAGTATTTTTTAAAGCTTATTTCATACTTGCTGTTAAGGCTTATGTCTAGATGTGTACCCCACCCCCCAGCCTCATATGGTCAAAGGTGGGGCTTTTTGGAGGTGGCTGTATCTAGAGTTCATGATTCTGGAATTAAGGATGTCATGTCAGACTGATTAAGAGTTCCCCACCCTGGGTGTGAGTAATAACCCATAGCCTGAATAGAATATAAGAGACAGTAAGGGGGCTGTGGTCGAAGCTTGCTGCTTGCTACTTTGCTGCCTTCTGCCTGTCATGGACCACCTCTCCTAAGTGATGCCCCTCTGCCATGCTACCCTGCACTGGAGCCAGCCAACTATGAACTGAAACCTCTACAAATTGTGAGCCAAATATATCTTTCCCCTTTTAACTTTGATGTTGGGTATTTTGTCTCAGCATGGAGAAAGGAACTAAGACACTTGTTATCTAAACTATGCAACAGGCAATAAGCAATATACATTTTTTTAATGGGTGAAGATGACACTTAATGACATTTACTAGGATTAAAACAAGACCTACTGTGCAATGTTTTTAAAAATGCCTTTTCAATTTTATCATAGCTATGCCTACCTGGCTTTCATTTGGCTTTTCCTAGCAGCTGCTTCACTAGCAGTCATCGGTTCAGGAAGAGCTGAAGGAATCAAAGAATTCTTGGAGGAAAAAAAAACAAAACTTTTAGTTTTTAGTGCAAAAAGGTTTATTAAACTATAGACATATTATTAAACTTAAAAAATACTACCTCTGAGGTACCATTATTTGCCCATCAGAAACCTAAAAATTATTGACATAATTGAGCCTATAAATATCACTAGATGTCATACACAATGTCACTCTCATATTCATGTCCCCCCAAAATCTCTGGAAAATACACAAAGTATCATTGTATGCAATGCATAGATAGATAGAATTTAGGTAAAAAGAAATACTATATTACACTTATAGATCAATAACTGCTTTGCACTTTAGAAAAAGAAGTTAACTCCAAGGGTAGGGAGTTTCTAAATACGGTACCACAAATAATTTTCAGAAAGAGGGGCTGGTAGGTTTTGCTCAGTTGTTTATACCCAATGTTTGACTCAGGGTAGGCAACCAGTAAGTGTTAGTTAAGTAGAACACGAAAAAATCAAGTTAAATGGCAAATAATGCTACTTTCATTAGTAGAATGTTAGAACTGAATAATTTCAGCCTCAGCAAGGAAAATATTTAATTGATATGTTAAAAGCAAAAAGAAAAGGCTAATTATATACTTTTTTTAAGTAATGGGTTAAGTTATACATAAAAGGAACAAATAAGAACAAGTTAGGCCAGAATGACCTAATGACCAGAATGAAGCTGAGAATGCCTTAAAATCAATGAGTCTAGTAACCTTTATTAAAATTAGCAGGGATTTGCCATACACAGTTCATCTGAAGTAGTTGATGTAATCTATAAATAGCAAATAGAATCAAAGCCTTTAAATATTATTAGGTATTTCTAAATGAGCTCCTTTCATGAACTAGGCATTAGATTGTAATTAGTTGTAATCTTTACAATTACTTTGTTTAATGGGGGGGACCATTAAACCTCCTAAAATAGGCAAAATAAGTCACTTAAAAAGATAAAATAAACTGCGGTCGATTTACAGTGTCTCTCCTTTTTACACCAAAGGCCCCCAAATTTTCTCATTTAACAGAGTATTTAGTTTCTGTCTCAGTAATTTTTCACAACTCTCCACAAAACAACAATAACAAAAAAAAACAGTCCTGTTTATTAAACAGCTAGACCTAAAACTTAATTAAAAGTAGTTTGTCTGTATTAGACTGTGTTTATGTCACTGTGTTTTGCTCTTAAATGGAACATATCCTGGAGGTGACCCTGGAGTCTGCTGTAGCTCTCCAGGATACCTCAAGACGCAATTTGGGATGTGGCTTTATACCAAAAATACAATCACAATCATATATCAGGCCACTTGTCACAAACAACTCTCAGAGTCTATACACATGTACATGAAAAAATGGATTTTAAATTCAAACCCTATTTAAAATGCTACTTACATTGATGTTAGAAACCGGACAATCCTTTTTGGCAAATTTAAATGCAAAATAGGATACTTGAAATATATCAGGTCTATGCTCTGGGTCTGGTTCAAGCATGAACCCTGTAAGAATAAATCAAAATGTTAAGACATTTTATTGATTAGAGATGCCACTTTATATAAAAGATAAAAATATTTTTCTGTTCCATTCTAGGATCAATGACTCTAGCAGACATTGTTAATATTTACAGAAAGTACAGAAATTGCTGTTATGCCAAACTAAATGGTAGGTTAGTCACAGGACTGTTCTGTACCTGCAGTATGAATGACATGTATGATTATTCTCCTAAGTATTCTGGCTTGTGTCTAGATGACCCCCAAAGCCTCATGCAGTCATAAGCAGGGCTTTTTCAGAGGTGGCTGAATCTAGAGTTTGTGACTGATTCATGGTGTAATGCAAGGATTAAGGGTGGTAGGATAAGGGTGAGTGATTACTAAATCAGTCCACTGATTGGTTTGGCACCACCTTAATCCCAGTAGCCTGGATACAATATGAGGGACAAAAAGAGCTTTGTCTTGCCCCTTGCTTGTTTTGCTACCTTCTGCCTGCCATGAACTGTTTCTCCCCTGTGATTCATCTGCCATGCCACCCTGCCCTGGAGCTGTGTAATTATGGACTGAAACATCTACACACTGTGACCTAAATAAACCTTTCCTCTTTTAATTTGTGGATGCCAGGTATTTTGTCTCAGCAATGAGAAAAGTAACTAAGACAGAAAGTGACTCAGGCAAAACCATGAATTTAGCAACATAAAACAAATAGTCCATTTAGTAAACTCTGGGGAATTATTAAAGAAAAGTTCCAGGACCATAGTGGGAGAGGCTTCAAAATAATTCCTTTTGAAGTAATTCTGCTATCTAAAATAATTCTATTTTGAAATGATCCTGAATCAAGTAAAGGCTAAATTGTGCATTATTATAATCTATTTACCAAAGTAGTACAAGATTGCTACTATAGGTTTCCAAAAATATGCTTTCTTCCCATACTAACTTACTATAGTTCTATATTTTACAATGTTATCTAAAATATGTTCAAAAATTTAAGTGCAGTTCTACTATGAACAGTCTACATGACCTTTACAGTACTGCTTAAAATACCTGAGATGTTTTCCTAGCCAAAATGACCATGACTATTTGTCTATTTCTTGGGTGATTTTTAATTTTAAAATTTTATAAGTTCAACACTTATTATTTTAATTTTAAAACTGAAAAAGTTTTATTTTGTAAAGACATTTCCATGACTAATTCTGCTTCATTAATTCTAAATTGTCATAATGCTTAAATTGTTTTTAAACTATTTAAAATGTAAAACAGTATTAGACATTCTGAAATTTGCTAATATGTATAGAGATCTAAGTACATAAAATAGCTAAAATGAAATTATAAATTTCATTATATATTATAAATTATAAAAATCAATTAAATCTTCCTCCACATTTAATTTCTGAATACAGAATGTGTAACATATCTCCAAAGAGATAATAAACTTATGTCAACTAAAAAAACAGCTCTACGGAAAGTAATATTGAGCACAAAACTTTAAAAATTTATTTGGGAAATTTTGAATTAAGTCTGTATATAACATTTTTTATATATCTAAAATGTTAACATAACATTAATAAATTTTACTTTTTATCTTTTAACACTACTGCTAGTTTGAAATAACTAAAAACATTTTAATTCAAATATTTATTAATTTATATTTAACCAAAAACATTTTGAAAATAAATCAATTTTATTTTGACACCAAAATATTAAATGTTTTAAGAGCAACAAGTGTATAAAATTAATTTAATTTTGTAAAAATAAATTTAAATACATGTTAACAATGCTTACCCATACAATTTTTAAAATCAATCCAATAACAAGAAACATAAAATTCACAAAATTATGATCCTAATTTCCTATTGTTACAAATTTATTTGGCTTTTAAAATTTAAATTCAATGGTACCTAATTGTACCTATTTGTTCTTATAAAGACATGAACTGGTACATAAAACTGTAAGATTTTTTTTTTTAATACATGAGAAAACTGGGACTGAAGGAAAAGTAATTCACTAAGGGCTGGAGCAGACAAAATAACGACAGAAAAGAAAATGCATGTGATTTGATTCTAAATATAGGTCCAAAATCTAGCTCTCCGCTTTCTAGCTGTCAATATAAATAGGACATGATCTATTACATGAATCACAGAGTCTCACACTCACACACACACACACACACACACACACACAGGTGCTAAATAAAAAAGCATTCCTGATGTGAAAGCAGAGAGCAAAAAGCAAATTCTCCACCTCCAAGAAACTGCAGTAAATTGTGTAGGACTTCCTCTTACTCCTTCTTCCCATGTGGACAGTGTCATAATACTAAATGCAGTTCAGGGTCCAGGGATTTAGCTCAGTGGCACCTTGCCTGCCTTGAAAGGACAAGGTTCTGAGTTCAATCTCCCCAGTACCAAAACAAACAAACAAACAAACAAAATGCAGTTCCACCAAAGAAACTCTAAAGTAACAGACAATAGTGTGGTATAACAATGTACCTCTCTGGCTCAATCCAAGAAAACTTTTTAAGTATCTAGAGAGAAACAGCATGATCTTCCCAACAATCCTAACTGGGTTTTGTTGTTTCTTTTCTTTCATTGTAATTTAGAAGCTTAGAGGAGAAAGAAACAAATTTGAGATTTTTCTGTTCTGACTAACATTCGTACAAGTAATGCTCTCTCAAATTAAGCACAACAGGGCCGGGGATTTAGCTCAGCAGTTCGGTGGCCTGCCTTGCAAGTACAAGTACCTGAGTTCAATCCCCAGTATCAAAAAAAAAAAAAGCACAGCACAACATCCTTTAATTATTAGGTAGCTAGCTAGGCTAGAGGAAAAAATTATCTTATAAGATAACGATAGAACCTCCACTAGCCCTGGCTCATATTTCCCTGTGGGAATTATAGGTGTAGGAGTCAGTTTAGCTTGTCTTACAGTATTGACGCCATTTATGCAATATAAAATCAATTTAAAAGCTCATGTCTAGTACTTAAAGAATTAAGGTAGAAAATATTATAGTGCATTAATGTGGCAAATATAAGCAACATTTCATGAAACTTTAAAGTTTCAGTTTCAGTTCATACATGTGCATGTATATGTGAATGCATGTATCAGGTTTGGTAGTTCAGCTTGACTGTGTCCTGATTGGCTTGGAGTGGTCCTGGAGGATTGGTAAAGCACACTGCCGGGTGTGTCCAGGTGGGTCATGGAGGCGACTTTAGTCCTTTTCTATTCTAGCTTTGTTCCCCTGCTCTACTTTCCAGGTGCCATGAATTGAGCAGCTTTGCTCAGCCATACCTTCCACCATGTTTCTGCCGTAAAGCCGGCTAACCAAGGGAATGACCATGAGTTAACTTAAACTCCTCTTTTAATATTTAATATTAATAGCATTTAATAATATTTAATATTAATAGCATTGTGTCCCAGTGACAAGAAAGCTAACACAGAAAACTGGTACCAGGAATAGGGCTGTTGCTGGACGTGTGCCTGACTGCGTAGTTTAGACACTTTTGGAAATGCTTTGGAGAAGTTTAGAGATGTGGGCTAGAGAAGCCTTGAAATATTATAAGCGGAGCCCTGCTGGCCAGAGCTCAGAAGACCAGAATACTAATAGGAATGCAGACAGGTTCAGGAGGTTTCACTTAGAAACAAGGACTCTATGGCCAGCTGAACTAGAGGCCATGTGTGTTTCACTCCAACAAGTAATTTGTGTACATTCTGTACATGTCCTGAGGACTGTGGGAGACTAAAATTAAGAGCAGTGGACTAATCTGGCAGGGGAATTTCAAGATGGTCCAACATTCAGGCTGTGGCATGGTTACTGCTGACTACTTTTACCCAAATGTGTAGTAAAAATTAGAAGCAAAATGTAGGCAGAAAATTTGAAATAGTTACATTTTGGTCCAAAAGAAACTATGAGTAAAATTATTGCAAAAGACATAACTACTGAAGAAATCAATGCCATTAAATGAAACCAAGTACTCTGACAGAGACAGGAAGATGCTCGGAGGGCACCTCAGAACCCAGCAGGACCCCATCTCAGTTCAGGGTCAAGGTTCAAAAGTACAAACCTTTCACTTGAGGACAACCCCTGGGATGCCTGAGAAGGGCCTCCTTAGGAATTGGTTCCCCAAAATTCACTGTGCTCAGCCATCCAGGCACCCAGAGGCCACTACAGCCACAGTCCAAGGGAGCCTACCTACTGCTACAGCTAGCAACAAACTTTGGTACTTTCTACATAATACTGGTTTTACCACATACAGAATGCAAATAGCTATGGGTTCAGGAAGGCTTCCACCCAGATTTCAAAAGAAGCCTGGAAGGTCAGGCAAGGAACAGCCCATGAAGTAATGAGAATGAAACCAAAGATGCAGTGGAGACCCCAGGAAGACAGAGATGCCAAGAATGTGGAATGTCTGCTTAGGAAAGCTACAGTCCAAGAGTGAATGGAGCCAGCTCCAGAGAGATGTCATGTGGGCTATAATGGAGCAAAGCCTTAGGGGTGATCCTATACAATCCCTCTGGAACTCACATTTTACCAACATGTGCCTGAGATGCCAAATACAGAGCTGCAAGTCATAATGTTTGCCTTCCTGAGCTATAGTCTTGCTCTGGCCCAATTATTTTCTATCTCAGTATTCCCTCCTTTGGAATGGGAATGTTTCTTCTATGACACTCTTTTCTGGGATTTTGCAGCTTTTTTATTTTTACAGAGGTTTACAACTAAGAATTTTCCTTGAGTCTCAGAAGAAACTTGGACTTTTAAAAATGCTGGAACTATTGAGACTTTGAAGAGATGTTTCAGTTGTATGCAAATTGTATCATGTTAGGCAGAATTATGACCTTGTATTTATCTGGAGAGTAAGTATGATTTAAGGAGATATGTTTGGGTGTTAAGTTGACAAGGGGTGGGATGTGAGTTTACACACCCATAATATGGCTGTAATCATTAAGTTTTACTGCCAGGCATATCTAAATTTGAACTGACTGTCCCATCAGGCAGCTTGAACCATCAGTCGAACATG